GAAGCCATTGTAATCCATAGGCTGTACTTTGGAAATTTATATTCATTAAATGAAAGTTAAAAAGAAATTGTAAATTAGTTGGTGAAAGTGATTCTTTTTAAAAAAACATTTTCAGAATAAAGTAATCATTTAAAATCATAAGTTGGTATAATTTCAAATTCTGTAAATATTTTAAAGAAGGATTTTTAAGAAAAGAGTGTATTTATTGTTACTAGTTTCAATATTTTAATTCTCTGTCTTAGGGAATGGATAAGAGTGCTTTTGAGAAGAAATATAACACCGTTGGAGTGAATATTTTCCGAACTCATCGGTTGTTCTGTCAAGATGTACTAAAGTTGCGTCCGGGGGAAATAGGTGTTGTCAGCAATGGCAAAGTAAGTAGAAAGCAATTGTTCACTTTTCTCAGTGACACTGATGAGTTAGGTATTAGACTTTTTCTGTTAAAGCACAAGTGATGCAAAATACCACAGAAGGAAGTACTCATCTGTTGAACTCACCAGACAGCGTGTTTTAGCTCACAAGTTGCTGATAGACTCAAGTTATAAGGCCTCGTCTTTTTTAAAGCCAAGTAAATCTGAGTTGCTACATTCATTATATAACCTCTGTGAGATCTGGTTTTTTATTTGGACAATGGGAATGGTAATAATCTGTTGTTGGAGAGATTAAATATACTCTTATGTGTAAAACAGATGGAAAGAACCCAGACAGAGACGAATTTTCATTAAATGTTAATGTCTGTTTTCTCTTGAATTGTTTAAAAGCCTTTATTGAAAATAGCAGATCCAGGGGCCAACACCGTGGCTCACTTGGTTAATCCTCCACCTGCAGCACCAGCATCCCATTTGGGCGCCGGGTTCTAGTCCCGCTTGCTCCTTTTCCAGTCCAGCTCTCTGCTGTGGCCTGAGAGTGCAGTGGAGGATGGCCCAAGTGCTTGGACCCTGCACCCGCATGGGAGTCCAGGAAGAAGCAACTGGCTTCTGGCTTCAGATCAGCACAGCGCCGGCTATAGCGGCCATCTTGGGAGAGAACCAACGGGAGGAAGACCTTTCTGTCTGTCTGTCTCTCTCACTGTCTATAGCTCTACCTGTCAAATAGATTAAAAAAAAAAAGGAAAATAGCAGATCCATTTGTAGACTTGATTTTTGTTACAGTAGGTGAGAGGCAGTATAGAACCAAGATCAGTTAATCAAACGCCAATGAGTGCAGAGAGAATTTTAGCTCAGTATATGCCAAAGCTTTCTAAAATTGTAATAAGTTGTCAAAGGAGGTAATGCATTTATGCTACAATAGTTACTCTATTAACTGACATATAGACAGTTGCCTGCATAATTTAGAAAAAGAAGCTTAGGGGCCGGCACTATGGCACAGTGGGTTAACCCTCCACCTGCAGTGCCAGCATTCCATATGGCACTGGTTCTGGTCTGGGCTGCTCCTCTTTCCATCCAGTTCTCTGGTGTGGCTTGGTAAAGCAGTAGAAGATAGTCCAAGTTCTTGGGCCCCTGCACCTGCATGGGAGACCCAGAAGAAGGTCCTGGCTCCTGGCTTCGGATCAGCGCAGCTCTGGCTGTTGCGGCCATTTGGGGAGTGAGCCAGAGGATGGAGGACCTTTCTCTCTATCTCTCCCTTTCACTGTCTGTAACTCTACCTCTCAAATAAATAAATAAAAATCTTAAAGAAGAAGAAGCATTAAGTAATTGGAAGCATCATGGTTTATGTCTCAAAGCAAAGGCTCCTAATAAAAATAACTTATTCCATTTAAAACAAACTGATATTGATATTTATGCAAATTTATATGTAACAGCAAAGTGAGATAATATGCTTTTTGTTTATAGTGTGTGTTTATTTGGTTAAATTAAAAGCAACCATCTCTTTAATCAATTTTTGTTTAATAAAGAAGTACCTATTTGATGAGCAAATAGTTTTCCTAAACAATTGCCTTCTAGAAATTATACAATAATATCTTTTTAAGTTTTTAGGACCTTTAGATGAAGATTTATATGTGGAAGATTTTTACTTATTGGAAAAAATTACGTTTAGCAATGTAGCAGAGAAAATTAAAGGTGTTGTTGAAGCAATGGAAAGCAATTCAAAGAAGTAAGTATTTTTTATCAAAATAGCAGTTCATCCTGGGGTCTGTTATTTTGTATCTGATATTTTATTTTTAAGATTAGAAAATGTTTCAAATACATAGAGAAATAAATTTAAAATAAAAGTCATATTTAGAAATAAGTAATGACATCCAGGGGTGGGAATTGTAGTGCAGCAGGTTAAGCAACTGCTTAGGATGCTTACATCACATATTGAAGTGCAGATTCAAGTCCTGATAACTTTACTTCTGATCTAGCTCCCTGCTAATTCACCTGGGAAGCAGCAGATAATTGCCCAGGTAGCTAAGTGTCTGCCACCAATGTGGGAGACTCCAATTGAGTTCCTGGTTCCAGACTTTGATCAGACCCAACCTTAGCTGTTGCAACAGATGCAAGGAGTCTCTCTATCTCAATCTCAGTCTCTCTCTCTCTCTCTCTCTCTCTTCCACCCCCTCCCTTCCCCTCCCCTCCCTTCCCTTCCCTTCTCCTCCCCCCCCATCTCCTTTTCCTTCTGTCACTCTGCCTTTCAAATAAATAATAAATCTTTAAAAAAAAAAATCCATTTATTCACCACCAACAGCCTTTAGCTGTTACTTTTTTTTTTTTTGTCTTGGATCTTACTGTTGATAACCATTTTCTTAAAGATTGAGTTTATGTTCCCTATTTGTATTTATACCTTTTGCCTCATATCCTCATATGTAAATATCCATTATTAAGGTTACTGTGTTGAATGTCTTGACATTTTTTAGAGAAATGCTATTATACCATAGGTTTCTTTTGCTTCCTGTTTCCATAGGAGCTTTAACTGTTAATGTATATAGATAGAGCATTTTTCAAGTCATTGATTACAACATGATATATGAATCTTTCTCTTCCTCCAAATCTCATACATTGTTTGTCTTATTTATGTAGCATAAGTGAACTTATTATGAAGGTCGATTCCCTTGTTTCTTCTTTGCCTAATCGTGGATCTCGGTATGATGTCACATTTCTTAAAGAGAACCACAGGTAAGAATGTAATAGTATCTGTGGATGTGTTTTTTGAGTTGTTGTCAATACATTCTGTGCTCATTGTTTCCATTTGTTTTCATAATGTATTAAAATTTTTAATTAAGAATTGTGCTAGTTATTTTATAATAATAAAATTTCATTTAATTATATATTCTAATACATAAAGGATAATATATAGAACATGAATTTTGTCATGAGTTCTATCTAGTATGGTATGTTTGTTTTTACTGTCATATTCAAGATCATTTTTGCAGTATCTAGAGATAATCATTATAAATGGTATCACCTTTGTATTTTCAGTGTATGAAAGACACTGTTATAAAGTTAAATGAAAATAGCCCTTATAATAAACAAGACTGGGAACAGGAGAGGGAACAGGAAGAGAGGTGGGAATGTGGGTGGGAGGGTGGGTATAGTGGGAAGAATTACTATGTTTCTAAAGTTATATTTATGAAATGTATGCAAATTTTATAAAATTAAGAAATTTAAGAAGACACTAAAGAGTCTCATTAATCCAATATACATGTACCTGTACACATAGTTGTATGCATATAAAGAAATTTGAACTATATAATATTTTACAACAGCATGTCCCAAAGTGTGTTCTATGGAACACTGCTCTGGGAATGTATTCTGAGGGGATAGCTGTTCTCTAGTCAAGTGAGTTTCAGGAACACTGCATCCTATAGACTCCTTTTGGAGCTTTTCAGTGTGCCTCAACATATTAATGGTTCTGAGAATTTTTATAGCTAAAAGAAGACAAAGGAAAGAAATTCATTTTTGGTTAATCGAGTAGTTAGGTAAGTTTTATATTTGAAACATTTTTTTTGATTAAAATTTTAGTACCATCAGAAAAATTGGGTTTTAGAAAACAGGCATCAGACAGATACTGTTTTAGAATAATAAACTAGCTTAATTTCATGTATGATGCAGCTCCTCAATGATATACTTAAAAAAAGATGCATCAAGCTGCACTGACATACGCAGTTTTCTGTGTCACAAGAATGGAGCCTTTAGTTTGGGTTTCTTAATTATGGATCACTATGAAGAAAAGTCAGTTATGTATGTTATAGAAAATTATATCATTTCATTCTAATCCCTACATTATAAAAACAATCCAAACTAGCACTTGAAATAGCTGACATTTTTTGTAAGTTCTCTGATTTATGATAGGTACAATATTATGTTACCTGTATTTGCTGTTTTAAAATAACATATGCTTTAGCTATAATAAATCTAAAATATCTTCACATATGTATGAATAGTCTTAACTTCAGGGAAAATTACTTTCTAGAGAAAAACTATCTGGCACTATTTAAATGTTTTAAGCACATTTAGTGAAATTCTTTTTGTGAACCTCTTTGAGTTCTTAAATACCACATGGTGAAATAATTCAACTCAAATTATGCAAAATTATTATAAGTGTTAGTTACTGTATTGTTTCATGTGTATAGAGATTTTGATTTCTTTGGAAATTTTTACTCCTTCATTGAATGTGTGATATACTAGATCTTTTATGTTTGTTAGAGTCTCTATTTCTTTTCTCATATCTGTCACCATGTCCTGCTTATTTAGCCTTCTGACTTATTTTACTGAGGGAAGGGTATGATGTGACTTTCTGATGGTGGTTGTAATTCTCTTTATTTTATTCCTGGAGAATTATTATAAATATCAATGTATATATACATGTTGAAATGCATCAGTGTTTATACAATAACACATACATACATAGTATCTGCCTTTTTAAAGCATGCAAGTCTAAGTAAACTGCCATTTTCTGAGTTCAGATATATAATTTGGGCAGTTTCTGTTTTCTATGTGTTTGCATGTGTTACTATGATATATTTATCCATATTGGCTTATGTTGTGTGACACAACATGAGCTTCCCTATTGAGACAAAGCAGCTAGCATTTAAATCACTTAACTAGTTGTGTGATTTTTTCTTAGCCTCAATTTCTTAGTCTAAAAGGTAGATGATTGTATGAGGTTATGATCTACTGCCTTGTATGTAGTAAATATTTAATACATTGTAGGTTTTATCTGTATTTGTTACAAATATAATGTGGAATCTCTCATAGTTTGGAAGTCACAGAAGTAAGATTGAACATGAAAGTTAAACCATAAAATCAACACACATGGATCAGGGTAGAAATGAGGAAACCATCTGAAATGGAGGATCCAAGCCAGAAAGACTTAATGTTAACCTCATTGGAGGCACATATAGTGGCCCCCTCACGTTCCATAGTTTCTGTGGTTAAGTATGGGCAAATGAAGTATTTCATTACAATGTTACAATGAGGTATTTTGAGAGAGGACACATTTGCCTAACTTCCACTATATTCTCACAATGGTTCTTACTGTTATTCTCTCTAGTGCCTTAAGTTATAAATTAAATTATAATTATATATATATGTGTGTGTGTGTGTGAGTGTGTGTGTGTGTGTAGAAATAAGTATAGATATGAGAGTAAATGAGAAATGTAGTATATAGTAATCATATGTATGAATCAGTTCTATCTGTAGTTTCAGGCATCCATTAGAGGACTTGGAACATAGTCCCCATGGATACAAGGGTACTATATCAGCGCACCGTGCTGATCCGAAGCCAGGAGCCAGGTGCTTCTCCTGGTCTCCCATGTGGGTGCAGGGCCCAAGCACTTGGGCCATCCTCTTCTGCACTTCTGGGCCACAGCAGAGAGTGGGACTGGAAGAGGAGAAACCAGGACAGAATCCGGTGCCCTGACCAGGACTAGAACCCGGTGTGCCGGTGCCGCAGGTGGAGGATTAGCCTAGTGAGCCATGGCACCGGCCCACTGTCTTTCCCTATAAAGGAAGATTATAGTGTTTTGTAACTACAGTTCTTGAGTACAAGTATGATCACATAGAAATTACTCATTTAAGGCTTTTTGGTGAGATATATGTAAAAGTACAGCGTAAATTTCATGGAAAATTAAAGGATAAACTTTCTGTACAAAAAGTTTTGAAAACAATGCAAATGAGCATTCTTTAAAAAGTTCATGAAAATGTGTATTTGGTCATTTGAGGAGTAAACCAGCAGATGGAAGTGATAGCTCTTTCCCCTTCTCTTTATGTATGTGTGTGTGTGTGTGTGTCTCTCTCAAAAAAAAAAAAAATGACTGGTTTTAAGTTGTGCTACAAATGTACAGTAATTTTGTAAAAATGTTTACCTAACTAACCTAAAGATAACTAAAGGAAGCAACAGTTATAGAAAGTCACTTTAATAATAGAACATCAATTTATTCCACTTACCTTTTAGCAGTAATCATCCAGTAAGGTATATTGTCTTGACTGCCACTCTAATGTTAACATAATTAGAGTTGTATCAACTGCATCTAAAGTGTCTTTCAGTTTCTTTTAAGAGGACCCATATTTGAAGTAAATATTTACATTAACTTTTATTTAATTGCCAAATTGTTTCTCGGCATTTTGACTAAGATCAAGTGTATTTAATTGCAAAGCAATTGATCTTCTCAATTAAAAAAGCCTTTCTGTACCAAAGAATACTAATCTTCCTTTAATTTTATGTGTGTGCTTCTCTTTTTAATAAATTTATTCATTTACATAAAGATAATGGATTTTGTGTAATGCATTTAGTTCTAAGAACATAATGATACTATGCACACTTCCTCCCTCTTCATTCCTTATTTATTTTTACTTTTGCAGTGACTTACTTTCAATTTGATTTTAATCACAAGCTTAATCCTCAGCTAAATAAGAAATTCAGCAAGTAGAAAATAGACCTTTGTTCTTCAGGTGTGTGGACAAGGGTTATAAACAATAATCAAACCTGAAAATGTCAATTACACTCATATACATTACATATTTCATACTGTATATATCAACTACAGCAGATAAGAGAAACATAATCATGTTTATCTTTTGGGGACTGGCTTATTTCAGTAAACATATGCTATCCAGTTGCATCAGTTTTGTTGCAGAAGAGAGGATTTCATTCTTTTTTTATTGCTGAGAAGTATTCCATCATATATACATACCATGTTTTCTTAATCCAGTCGTCAGTTAATGGGCATCTGTGTTGGCTTCATATCTTAGTTATTGTGAATTGAACTGCTATAAGCATGGGAATCCAGATAACTCTTTCATATACTAATTTCATATCCTTTGTCTCAAGAGTGGGATGGCTGACTCATGTGGTAGATGTATTTTCAGATTTCTGAAGAATCTCCATCCTGTCTTCCATAATGGTTGTAGTGGTTTATATTCTCACCAGCAGTGGATTAGGGTACCTTTTCCCCCACATCCTCTCCAGCATTCAGTTTTTTTTTTTTTTATTTTTGGTGATAGCCATTCTACCCAGGGTAAGATGAAACCTCATGTGGTTTATATTTGCTTGCCCAGATCACTACTGACCCTAAACATCTTTTCATGTGTCTGTTGATCATTTGTATTTCATCTTTCTTTTTTTTCAAAGGTTTATTTACTTTATTTTAAAGGCAAAGTTACAGAGAGGCAGAGGCAGAGAGAGAAAGAGAGGGGTCCTCCATCCGTTGGTTCACTCCCCAGGTGGCCACTATGGCAGGAGCTGTGCTGATCCAGAGCCAGGAGCTGCCTCTGGGTTTTCCACATGGGTGCAGGGATCCAAGCTTGGGCCATCCTCCACTGCTTTCCCAAGCCATAGCAGAGTCAGACTGGAAGTGGAGCAGCTGAGACCAAACCAGCACCCAAATGGGATGCCAGCACTGCAGGAAGTGGCCCCACCCACTAAGCCACAGCACCGGCCCCTGTATTTCATCTTTCAGAAAAATTCTGTTCATAGCCTTTGCTCATTTCTGAACTTATTTGTTTTGTTGCTTTTGAGTTTCTTGAGCTACTCATACATTCTGGATATTAATCCTTTATCAGTTATAGATAGTTTGCAGATACTTTCTGCCAATCTGTCAGTTGCCTCTTCAATTTCTAGAGAGTTCCCTTTGCTGTGCAGAAGCTTCTTAGCTTCATGTAATCCCATTCATCTATTTTGGCTTTTATTGCCTGTGCTTCTAGGTCTTACACAAGAAGTCCTTGCCTATGCCAGTGTCTTGCAGTGTTTTCCTTTAGTAATTTCATGGTTTCAGGTCTTAGATTTAGACCATTGCCTTCTCTCATTGTTCTGTATACAGAGATCCAGTTTTCCCAAAATTTGAAGAGACCTGTCTCCACTGAATGATTTTCACTCATTTGTCAAAGATTAGTTGGTTGTAGGTGCATGGATTAATTTCAAAGGTTTCTAATCTGTTCCATTGCTCTACATGTCTATTTTTGGGCCAATACTGGGCATTTTTTATTATAACTGCCCTGTAATATGTCTTGAAATCTAGTAATATGATGCCTTCAGTTTTGTTTTTATTGTTTAAGATTGTTAAGCTCTTCTGAGTCTCCTGTGTTTCTATGTGAATCTTAGAGTCTTTTATGTAGTTCTGAGAAGAATGTTCTTCTTATTTTGATTGGGATCTCATTGAATCTGTAAATTGTTTAGGGTAGTGTGATCATTTTGATGATATTCTTCTAATCCATGAATGTGGAAGATTTTTCCATTTTTGTGTCTTTATTTCTTAATGTTTTGTAATTTCCATTATAAAGATCTTTCACATCCTTGGTTAAATTTGTCCCCAGGTCTTTAAATTTTTAGTAGCTATTGTGAATGGGACAGATCTTAGAAGTTCTTTTTCAGTCATGGCATTGTTTATGTATCCAAATGCTATTGCTTTTGTATGTTGATTTTATATCCTGCAACTTTGTGAAACATTTTTAATGAGTTTAATAATCTCTCAGTGAAAACTTTTGGTTCCTATATGTATAGGGTCATGTTATCTTCAAACAGGAATATTTTTACTTCCTCTTTTCCAATTTCTGTCCCTTTGGTTTCTGTTCCTTGCCTAATGGCTCTGGCTGAAGATTCCAAAACTCTATTAAATAGCAGTAGTGAAACTGGGCATCCTTGTCTGTTTCTGGATCTTGGTGGAAATGCTTTCAGCTTTTCCCATTCAATGTGATGGTGGCTGTGGAGTTTGTCATATCTTGCCTTGATTACGTTGAGGAATATTCATGTTATACTCAATTTGCTTTTTTTTTTCCAGAAAGAATGTTGTTCTTTGCTATATTTAGTAAGTTTTGATATGTTATAATTAGCGATTTTTTTGTTAGCCTTTAATTTCTTCTATAATCTATTTTTTCATGTTCAGTGTCCATTAGTTTGCATGTTTTATAGAGTTTCTCATGTTGTTAACTTCTAGCTTCATTTCATTGTGATCAGAGAAGATACATGGTACAGTTTTGATTTTTTGATGTTGTTGAGATTTGTTTTATGGCCCAGCATTTGGTTGATCCTGGAGAAATTACCATACATTGATGAAAAGAATGCAATTGCTGCAGCTATAGGATGAAATGTTCTGTACACATTAGTTAGATCCATTTGGTCAATCGTGAAGATTAGCTAAGGTGTTTCCTTGTGGATGTTTTTTCTCTGTTTGTTTGGTTCATCTGTCCATCGATGAAAGTGAACTGTTGAAGTCCCTCATTATTATTATATTGTGCCCTGTGTTTTGCTTTAGATCAATTAGCGTGTGTTTTAAATAGCTATGTGCCCTAGCACTGGATGCATATACATTTACTATAATCAGATCTTCCTGTTGAATTGATCCTTTAACCATTATATAATGCCCTTCTTAATCTCTCTTAACAGTTTTTATGTTAAATTCCATTTTGCCTGATTTTAATGTGACTACTGTTATTTTTTTTTGAGTTTGCATCAAATATCTTTTTTAATCACTTAACTTCCAGTCCAGGTGTATTTTGTTGGGGAGGTGTATTTCTTGTAGGTTGCAGATAGATGAGTCTTGTTTTATTAATCCATTCAGCCAATCTGTATCTTTTAATTGGAGAATTTAATCTGTTTACATTCAAGGTTGTTATTGATAGGTGATGACTTGGTCTTGCCATTTTCCATAAATATTCTGATTATGTGTTTTGGATCTCTTTGGTACTGTTAATAGGAGGTCTTCTGCCTTCACATTCTTTCATGATAATGACTGTCTTTGTTTCTGTGTGTAGCACATCCTTAAGTATCTTTTGTAAAGTTGACCAGGTGGTGACAAATGCTTTCAATTTCTGTTTGTTTTCAAAGGTCTTTATTTCACCTTCATTTATAAATGAAAGCTTTGTAGGGTACAGTATTCTAGGTTGACAGGTTTTTTTCTTTTAGGACTTGAACTATATCCCTCCATTCTCTCCTAGTCTCTAGGGTTTCTGATAAGAAGTGAGCTGCCAGTTTTGTTGGAGATTCCCTTTGAAGGTAATCTGGCATTTCTTTTGTACATTTTAGGACATTTTCTTTATGTTTCGCTTTAAAGTTTGCCTATAACATGTGGGAAAGATCTTTCTGATCATGTCTGTTAGAGGTTCTGTGTGCTTCCTTTACTTAGATGCCCATATCTTTCCCCAAATAAGGGAAATTTTTGGCTGTTATTTCACTGAATAGGTCTTCTAATACATTCTGTCTTTCTATACTTTTAGTAGCTCCTAAGACACGTATATTTGTTTGGTGGTATTCAGTAAATCTTAAACACCATTTACAGTTTTTCTGATTTTTTTCTTTCTTTTTTTTAGACTGAGATATTTCCTAATATTTGTTTTCCAGCTCCGGTATTCTTTCTTCTGCCTCATCAATTCTTTTGTTCAGGGTTTCCACTGTATTTTTTATTTCACATATTGATTTCTGCATTTCTAATGTTTCAGTTTGATTTTTCTTTAATATCTATCTCCTGGCAGAATTTTTTATCCATGTCATCTGTGGATTTCTTTAACTCATGTACTTGCTTCTCTGTAAATTTGAGTACTCTTAGGATCCACATGTATTCTTCTTGATTTGATAAACTTTTTCTGTTTTGTAATATGTAAAGTATGTAATCTATTCATCCTGTATCTAAGAAAAAGATTTCCTGTATGATTCTAGTGTTAAAAAACAGTGATTCTGGACTGGCACTGTGGCATAGTAGGTAAAGCCGCCACCTGCAGTATTGGCATTCCATATGAACACTAGTTTGAGTCCTGGCTATTCTACTTCCAATCCAGTTCCCTGCTAAAGTGCCTAGGAAAGCAGCAGAAGATAGTCCAAGTCCTTGGGCCCCTAGACCCACATGGGAGACCTGGGAGAAGCTTCTGGCTTTTGACTTCAGATTGGCACAGCCTCCAGCAATTGGGGCCATTTGAGTAGTGATCCAGCAGATGGAAGATCTCTCTCTGCCTCTGCCTCTGCCTCTGCCTCTGCCTTTCTGTAAATCTGTAAATCTGCCTTTCACATAAATAAATAAATCTTTAAGTGATTCAATTAGGATATTCTACACTTTTCATAAAATACATACTATTAACTTTTAATTATATTAAATGTAGTATCAGGTATTTCCCCTGGCCTTTTCTGGACGTGTAACATTTTCCCATTTCCCTTCAAAGATTAGTCTGTCTTCTGATTTAAACTTAGATCAGTGGAAGACAAAATGGAGAATACACAGGGCATGAGGTGAGAAGGAGAAGATGGTCAAAAAGAAGTATAATGAATTTGCATGTTTATGTTCCAAAAGGATGTGTTAATTATTTTGAAATGCCAAATTTTATCAAGTTGCCAAATAATTTCATCATTCTCAAATATGAGGAAATACATTCAACGAATACAAATGTCAATTCACATTCTTTATTATATAATCAATGAGAATTTTGAAGGCCTAAAATTAACAGTTTTTATTGCAATGATACTTTTTTTAAGATTTATTAACTTGAAAGGCACAGTTATATAAGAGAGAGGGAGGCTCAGAAAGAGAAAGAGATCTCCCCATATACTGGTTGATTTTTCCAAATGGCCATAACAGCAGGGGCTGGGCTGGGTGGAAGTCTTGATTATGGAGCTCCAACTAGGTCTCCTATGTGGGTGGTAGGGGCCCAAGAACTGGGGACATCTGCTGCTGCTCTCCTAGGCACATCGGCAGGAGGCTGAATTGGAAGTGGAGCAGTGGAGGCTCAAACTAGTGCTCATGTGGTTTATCATTGTATACAGTTGCTTAACCAGCTGTACCACAGTGCCAACTTCCAGTGATACTGTTCCTTGAAGAATTTTTTTAATGATTTGCAAAATCTTACATTTTCTTGAATTCATTCCTGTTTTTTTCTTTAGTAAAAGGTGAAAGATTTATACGATCTGAAGAGAAACCAGAGTGTGTGTTTTGTTTTTTCAAACACTGTACTTTCAAATTTGCATTTTATTGTGTGAAAGGATGTGTGAGAAACTTATTAGGATGTACATAACTGAGATCATAATTAATGAGATATTTGTACATACGTAATCCTTCATCTTTCATCTTATTTTCTGTTTTCCTAGCATTATAAAGATGAGTCCTCAAGAGAATGATATGTTCTTTGATGTCGTTGCTATTGTTGATCCATTGACAAGAGAAGCACAGAAGATGGCACAGATATTAATTGTAAGATAATATAAATTAGACTGATTTTTTAATTTAGAAACTTTTGTGTCCTCAAGTATAATCAAAAGATTTTGCTCTCAAGTATTAACTTTATCAACATTGAATAGACTCTCAAATTTCAGTGTGGGGAATGAAATAACAGCTATGCACAGAATGTAATGATAGTGCTGAGTTTTGGTGTTGCCATGGACTAAGAGGTTTCTGTCTCACGTGGATTTTATATTTCAGTATATGTAATGTGTTCCACTGAATTTCAAGCCCTAATCCCCTATGTGAGTATATCTGGAAATAGGGTCTTTAGGAGATAATTATGGTTAAGTGATTTCATAAGAGCAGATTCCTTGGATAATAGAATTTGTACCCTTATCAGGCAGCCTGTATGAGTGCATAGACATGGTAGGTGCCTATAAACCAGAATCAACTAGCACCTTAATCTTACACTTTCCAACCTCCATAGCTGTGAAAAAAAATCAATTTCTATTGGTTAAAAAACTCTGTCTGTGATATTATGTTGTGGCAGCTCAAGTGGACTGATCCAGTTGTCTTCCGCTGCTGTAAAGAATGATGTTTGGAAAACCTTATACTTAACCTTATTTAGGTGAAGCTTAATGTATAGTAAGTAATGCTAGTCAAACAGGCAAAGCCAAGGGAAAGGGGAACCTTTATGTCCATTGTAACAAAGACCAAAATAGCAGTACCTTCAACAAGATTGAAGTCCCTTTCCTCATCTAGCAGTCCAACTGAATGCTGACAGTGCTGCAAATATAGCCTCCCAGTGTGAGGAGCTCAGTTACTGGTTAATTTTTTCGCCATTCTCAGGAAGCATAGTCAATCAAATGGTGAAGGATCACAAGTCAAGCTCTAACATCTTTTCTCCATTTCAGCTGTTAGAACAAAGAGAACAAGGGTGCAATCTCAAAGTTGGACACCTCTCTCCCATCTTTTCACAGCAGAATGTAGCTCATTATGTTACTACACTTAGAGACCAGAGAGACTAGAAACTGTGGCCACCAGCCCTAAATAAAGCTAAAACATTTTACTAGTAGGAGAAAATCAAAGTTAAAAGACAGCTATCAGTCTGAAAGGATATTATATGGCTTACCATTTTACTGAGATTTCAGAGGTTTAAATTATAATTAGCTTTCAGTAGTTAAATTTGATTAAGCTGGTTAGATTAGAAGGCCATGTTTTTCTTTTGATCAAAATTTTGCTTGCATCCTCTTTGAAATTACTCAGTGCTTTCTTATAAGACATATTTTTAAAATGTGTATGCATAGATTGCAATTTTTGCACCAAAACAAGTTTTATATTTTAGTTATATTTCCCATGAACTATTTGAAGTATATTTGTATTCTCAGAAGTGAAAAGCTGTTTGTCCTTTGATAGTGGCTTTACTTTTGGAAACAGGCAAAGGTATTTAATTAGTAAGAGCTATGATACTTCTGTGTGAATGGTCTTCAAAAAGTTCGTGGAAATATTTATAATGAAAACAATAATGTATGTATTTTTGCATGAAAATAAACTTATCTTTTATTTACATTTTCTCAAAATGCCATTGTATAATCTATTAAAATTTCAAAATGCTGTTTTTCTCTGAAATCTGTTTGCACTGCCATATCATAGTAGAAGGAGGATTTTAAATAGCTGTTGTAAATGTAAATGTATTAATGTATGTAAAAATTTTTGGAAAGAGTTTCCCGTACTAGCTCTTTAGTAAGTAAGTCAGGTAAACTAAATCCTATGACTGATTTCCCTGTTCTCTATTTAGCGTTTTCATGCCATCAAATTTGTACTGCAAGGGGGCCCTGCCAGCATTGCATATCAAAGCACTGACTCAAGTCCCATTCAATCTCAGGCTGCTCCTCTCCAATCCAGCCCTCTGATAATGTACTCAGGAGGTTTACAGAAGATGGCCCCATGTGCTTGGGCCCCTGCCACCTACGGAAGACCTAAATGGAGTTCTGGGCTCCTGGCTTTTTGCCTGGCCATTTGTGGAGTGAACCAGTAGATGAATGTGTCTCCATCTCCCTCTCCCTCTTCCTTTAAATCATCCTACCTTTTAAATAAGTAGGTAATTCTTATAGTTTTCTGTATTTAAGTTATATACTATTCAGATAATTCTTTGGAAGACATTGATAGTAATTTTATCTTTGAGGGGTAGAGTTATCTAATGCTTTTTAGTGTACACATTCCCTATTCCTGTGGATGTCATTATTCAGAAAAAAATATTGTTTACCTTGAAATTCTTTATATAAAGGTAGATTTTTGAAATAAGAAATATAAAATTGTGGAGATATATAAGTATGAAATTGTGTTCCAGCTTATATAATTGGTAATAATACCATGCCTTATTTCTGAGCAACTTTAACATTTTATAGAAAAATAATTTATTGAAAAATAGTGTTTCATTCAACACTTGGGAAAAGCTGTATTTTTGCGACCTCTTTTGAAGTATGAGAAGTGATAGAATGGGAATGAGAACTAAAAGCTCTTTAATTCTTAGTTTATATATTCTAATCCCTTATCAAGTATTTTTTGTTACATAAATCTGGGTTTGTGTTTTATTTTTTGCTTTCCCTTTACTTACTTTGTTGCCTAATACCTTTTGTATCTTCATTGACTTGTTAACTGTGTAGGGATGGGAATTATCAAAATTAATGATTGTCTTCCTACTTTTAAAATATATACATGTATTCTTTTATATATATACACAGATATAAACACACACACTTTACATATATAAATATATGTATTACATTTCTATATTACATTTATATTTCTATTTATAAATAATAAATATTTATAAATTATTTAAATAAATTATAAATATATAAATTTAATATTTATATATCGAATTTTTATATATTACATTTATATTTATATATATAAACTGTGTATATATATATAAAAGAATACATGTATATATTTTAAAAGTAGGAAGACAATCATTAATTTTGATAATTCCCATCCCTAAACAGTATAAATAAATTAATGTAATATATATTTATATATATAAATACATATAAATTTATATATGTATAAGTATATATATAAAGAAAGTTAGGGGGAGGGATGGAAGGAGGGGAACACTTACCCATCTTTTGGTTCACTCCTCAAATGCCCACAACAGCAGGGGCTGAAGCCAGTAACTGAATGCAATCCAGGTCTCAAACATGTATGATAGGAACCCAATTTCTTAGGCTGTTACCACTGCCTCCCAGGGTCTGCTACATTATCAGGAAACTGGAGTCAGGAACCAGAGCCAGCTGTCAAACCCAGATACTCGCATATGGGAAATAGGCATCTTAACCACTATTCTAAACACTCACTCTCCTTTTACCTACTTCTTATGCCTTATAGAAACAAAAAGAAACGAAAATAGCATATTTCATTTATATGTAGTCAAGAACTTCCTACATCTCTTAAAATATAGGATAAGATTCCAAAAGGATCAGGGTACCCTTACCAGTGTTACTGCAAGGTGTCCAGTTTGTATTTGCAAATCAGGATTCCATCAATTATTTTACTTGTTCTTCAATAGTAAGGAAATTTAGATCCTATGAAAGAAATTTTCATTATGCAGAAAGAAGACAGTGTAACCCTGGTATATTGAAATCAACTGTTGGAGTTCAAATCTTACCTCTTGCATGACTGATTTGTGAACTTGGGCAAATTACTGAATCTTTCTTTGCCTCAGTTACAAAGTACTGCCTATCAGGATATCATAAGAATGGAATGAGATAATGAATATAAACTGGTAATGCAGTTACTACTATACAATATATGTTCAATAAATGTTAGTTGATAATATTGTCTAATTTTAAATGGGGGAACTTTTTAAAATAGGTACTTGGCAAGATTATCAACATGAAGATGAAGTTGTTCATGAACTGTAGGGGTAAGCTTTCAGAAGCCCCTTTAGACAGGTGAGTCTGAACATAATTCTGCTTTTAAAAATTGGCAAATGCTAACAAGAAAAAAGGAGAGCCATTTTTCACTTTTTTTTTCTCCTTCACAATGTGCTTCCCTGAAATAGATCAGATTACTAGAAGTTATATTATCTGCAATTGATGTAAAATGGGTGTGAAATGAAAATAACTGAACTGTATAAATTTATCCAATCTAATCCCAGAATTTACATGGATTTATATTTACCCATGGATATTTCTTGAAATGTGATCTGGAATACCTATTTAGAAATAAATCAATGGGAAATAAAATTGAATGACGTTACTTATGGTTTAGCTGTGCTTTCAGTACTTACTTAGAGGTGAATTATTAAATTATTTTTATATCATCATAGTTACTCTTTTAGGGTGTTGGGGTACAGTTAGCTTGGAATAATCTGTCCATGATAAAGAAAATGTTGCTTATCATTATATACAAATATTCTTCATTAATACTGTTCTATTGAATTAACGTTTCTACAGAAGGAGAAAAATATATCCTTTCTGAATCAGAATCGCTATCATTGTGAGCCACCGTTACTTATAGGAATATTCAGTATCTTCCAGGTATCATTGGGAAGAAAAAAGGATGTACACCACTGGACTAGTATAGCTTTATAGAACTTATTAATGAGATTTTCTCTATATCATTTAATTTTATAGATCTAAATAATACTCATGAGACATAAAAGTAGCTTTCTGTTAATCCTTTGATTACTTTTCTAAGATTTGTTGTAGATTATTGCCTTGAGCAGACATTTAAAATGTTAAGTATTTTAATACTTGAAAAGCAATAAAATGGAAAGTATAGAAAATGCAAATGGAATTTTAGGTTCATTCATTGCCCTCCTGAGACTCTTGTCTTTATCTTATTTAGTTTTCATATATCTTTTCTATCTCAAATTTAATCATATGCCCTTGTAAATCTGAACAAAATTTTCCTTTACATTTTTATAGCCATTAATCCAAAGTTTAGTTATGTGAGTACATATTGTTTATTCAAAATAGTGGGGATCCTCTCCACAGTAACTCTATAAAACTCTGGAATGCATAATAAAGAGTAAAGAATTAAGTAAATAGAGGGCTCTCAAAAGTCCAAGGAAATGTAATTAGAAGATAACAGGCATTTTCTATGAACTTTTTAGAGATTCCTTGTATAAGCAAGCATAATGTGTTGGAAAGGAAAGAACTTGACTTCTCTTGGTGATACGATACCTAATATACTAGAATGTCAAGTTAACGTGTCATTTTCTTTTTATTCTCTAGTTCAGCAGAATCTTATTTACTCAGTAGCATGTATCAAACAAACTAACATGCACGTTTTTTCCTGGTCTTTGCCTTTTATGAGAAAGGTAATTAGAAGGAATTCCTCAACTCCTTACTTCTCCTTTACTTCTTTGGCCTTCCTTTGTGTAGAATGAGGAATCCCTCTCCTTTCTTTTATTTATTTATTTATTTATTTATTTATTTAATTATTTATTTATTTATTTTTTACAGGCATAGTGGACAGTGAGAGAGACAGACAGAGAGAAAGGTCTTCCTTTGCCGTTGGTTCACCCTCCAATGGCCGCCGCGGCCAGCGTGCTGCGGCCGGCACACCGCGCTGATCCGATGGCAGGAGCCAGGTGCTTCTCCTGGTCTCCCATGGGGTGCAGGGCCCAAGCACCTGGGCCATCCTCCACTGCACTCCCGGGCCATAGCAGAGAGCTGGCCTGGAAGAGGGGCAACCGGGACAGAATCCGGCACCCCGACCGGGACTAGAACCCGGGGTGCCGGCACTGCTAGGCGGAGGATTAGCCTGTTGAGCCATGGCGCTGGCCCTCCCCTTTCTTAAGGTTAATATTCCTTCTCTGTTTTGATCTCATGTTTTCCCATTTGTTCTTGTTCCCTGCTTTATCACACATTCTTCCTATTCTTTATTTTTTTAACTTCTCCACTAGCCTTTTTTGTTCAGTCATTAAAGTTGTATGGTTTTTTAAAATTGCTTTCAAAATTTCCTCTTCTCCAGCGTACTGACCTTTCTTCTTTACTCCTCTAAACTTCTTCAGAAAATGGCCATCTTCTCCCTTCATCAGTCATTCACCATACCTCCCAGTAAAGACTAGCTGAAGCATATTCTTTGCAACTGAAATTGGGTCTTTTTTCCTTATATTTTTAAAACATTTAATTTTATTTGAAAAGCAGAACAGTTGTGAAAGAGGGAGAGACAGAGAAAGAGAGTTCTTCTGTCTACTGGCTCACTCCCCAGTGCATCTGGGCAAGACCAAACCAGGACCCAGGAACTCTGTCATGGTCTCCCACATGGGTGGTAGAGGCCCAAGTAATTTGGCCGTGATCCATTGCCCTCACAGGCACATTAGTGGAAGCTGGATAAGAAACACAGCAGCCAGGACTCAAATCAGCATTCCCAAATGGGATACAAGTGTCTCAGTCACGGGTAAAATTGTTTTTATTGGATCACAAAGAAATTGTTATTTGCAGCATCTCTGAGGTACTTCGTCTGTGACATTTTTCTCTACTTTTGACAGCAATAAGTACTTGCTTTGTACATTACTCCATGGTTGTTCTTTTCTGTATTTCTGCCTACTACTACTACTTCCTCTTCTTGCTCTTCTTCCTCCCCCTCTTCTTCCTCCTCTTACCCCTCTTTCTTCTACTTCCTCCTCCTCCTCTTTTCCTCTCCTTTTTTCCCTTCCTCTCCCTTCTTTCTTCTTCTCTGGGTCTCTCAATGAATATTGTTGCCTGGGATTCACATTCTTCATAAATTCTCCAGGAGTGAGGTCTAGACCTAATTATTTGATTCTTATGAACAAAATAGGACAAAGTGATAGATTGTCTTGCTTGTAAAAGGTGGTGACTTTGGTCTTGATGGCATCCTTTCTCTTCAGCTCCTTTTGTGTGCTTCTCATGAGACATACTGAAGGTAGCCAGCAACTGTAGTCTGTCCCCAGCCAACCACAGGAAGGTAACTACAGCACTCATTTTGATAGCTCTTAAGGAATGAGATGATCCTGGAAATAGATCTTCCTCCATGTTGAGCTTTGAGAGACTTAGAACACAATTGATGCCTTGCTCGCAGTCTCAAGATAGTGAAAGTAACTGTTATTCACATATGTGATATTGAAAGATAAGTCTAAAATACAATAAAACTGCATATATGTCTTAACAGCTTTTTTAAGCAGCGAATTGCAACTCAATCCTGTTTGATTTTCATTAAAATATTAAGATTTCTACTTAGAATTTCAACTGACTCTTACTTATTTCCTGGGTGTCATTTCTCTTCATATTGGTAGTAGTGGTAAGCAGACCATGGTCAAATTTAAAGATGAATCAGTGAGTGAATAAAGATCTTACACTGTGTTAGCCTGCATAAATCAGGTATGTCATTAAAGAATTCTAATCAGGTTTGGTAAGAAATAATTAACAAAGCTATATGATATATATAGTCTTAAAGTGCCAACAAAATAATAATTGTCTACTTATAAGCATTAACTTTTCTATAGTAGTGTGTTTCAATTTGATTTCAGATTTTCTTATGTTGTTAGGCCATTTCCACATTTAAAATACTTTAGAATAAATATTAATCTGAATTTTATTATAATATATATTTTTATGTTTTATCAACAGCTTTTACCGTTTTGTTCTGGAGCCAGAAGTGATGTCAGGGTCTGATAATGTTCCTTCTCTTGGACCCATGGCAAAATTTGTGGATATCCCTGAATCACCTCTTCTAACCCTCAACATGATTACTCCGGAAGGCTGGTTGGTTGAAACAGTACACAGCAATTGTGACCTTGATAATATTCACTTAAAGGATGTAAGTTATGGCGTAAAATCATAGAGAGACTGGGATAAATTCTTACCAGCTATACACAATTGTTGCAAGCGAGTGAATGCTCACCAGAATTTTCTTCTTTATTATTCTAGGGCCTGGCTCAGGCTTTTCCTTTGATTTTCAGATTTCCCTAACTTTCAAATTCAGCTTCTCTAGTTTTCCAGCTTCCTGAGAGCCCTTAACTTTGTTATTGCCTCAGGCTGTTAGCCCCAAAGACTGCTTTAAAATGAGCAAGGTATAAAATAGGGAGATGGATACAAGGCCACTTTTAAGTACCTATTTTGTACTTCAAGTTTAGTTTTTAACTCAGAAAGTTTCAAAGGTTTTTTTTCCCTACTTTTCAGTGCTACCAGAGAAGGAAATTTTAAATTAGACCAAAAAGCAGGAAACTGAATTCGCTGTTATCCTGCAGACTACGTATAGCTGCTTCCCATCACCTCCAATATGAATTTCTCTACCAAATAGTCAGATTGTTCTTGTTCGTGTGTTGTCATTCAGTCCACAGGACAAAAAGAATATTCTAAAATAAACTTACTGTTTTTGAAAATTGACTTCAAAGCGGCTCACTTGGCTAATCCTCTGCCTGCCGTGCCAGCACTCTGGGTTCTGGTCCTGGTTGGGGGACCAGTTCTGTCCCGGTTGCTCCTCTTCCAGTCCAGTTTTCCTCTATGGCCCGGGAAGGCAGTGGAGGATGGCCCAAGAGCTTGGGCCCTGCACCCGCATGGGAGACCAGGAGGAATCGCCTGGCTCTTGGCTTCGGATTGGTGCAGCGCACCAGCCGGAGCAGCCATTTTGGGGGTGAGCCAATGGAAGGAAGACCTTTCTCTCTGTTGCTCTCTCTCTCACTGTCTAACTCTGCCTGTAAAAAAAAAAAAAAAAGAAATCAAATGAGAAAATATTCAGAAAAATTATTCAAAAATAACAAAAATTTAAAAAAAAGAAACATCGGCCAGCGCTGTGGCTCACTAGGCTAATCCTCCGCCTTGCGGCGCCGGCACACCAGGTTCTAGTCCCGGTCGGGGCGCCGGATTCTGTCCCGGTTGCCCCTCTTCCAGGCCAGCTCTCTGCTATGGCCCGGGAGTGCAGTGGAGGATGGCCCAGGTGCTTGGGCCCTGCACCCCATGGGAGACCAGGAGAAGCACCTGGCTCCTGCCATTGGATCAGCGCAGTGTGCCGGCCGCAGCGCATGGGCCTTGGCGGCCATTGGAGGGTGAACCAACGGCAAAGGAAGACCTTTCTCTCTGTCTGTCTCTCTCACTGTCCACTCTGCCTGTCAAAAAAAAAAAAAATTTTAGAATTGGTGTCCAGAAACTGGGAGATAAATATTTCTTTTTCTCAGTATCCTCCCTTTGGCTTATTTCCAAATCTTCTCTGTGGGTGGCATCTCCTTTAAATTGTAGCCATTACCTTGACCAAAGCATAAGCATGTACCTTTAATAGTTTGCCTGAAGTTGTTCATCATATTTGTATTTTGCACTTCTTATGTGTTGCCTTTTGCCTAAAGCTTTCCTTCTTGGTAAACTTCTTTTTAATCCATGTAACATATTCACCAGTACCCCCAACTGGACCCCTTAAGAAAGAAGCTAAAAGAGAGTCATAACCATTATCTGAAATCAGTTCAACAAGTCAAGCGAAAAAAGGGGGAAATAATAAAATTTATGGCAAAAAATTTAGAAGTAAATTTTGTGAAGAAGTAAATTTGGAAAGAAGTTTTTAAAAAAATTCCTGTTTTCTTCATGATTAGTCAAATCTCTTAACAGAATCTATTAGATTCTTCATAAAGTAAGTGTTTCATTATATATCAAGCAGGTAATTCCAAAGACACTAACCAACAGTGTGAAAAGTTCACAGTGGGGGATTTAACACAATTTAGAAAAGGTTTTAAATGGAGTCTGCTGGTGAAAATTTCAGCAGCTGGGGCCAGCGCCATGGTTCATTTAGTTAATCCTCTGCCTGCGATGCTGGCATCCCATATGGGCGCTGGGTTCTAGTCCCAGTTGCTCCTCCTCCGGTCCAGCTCTCTGCTGTGGCCCGGGAAGGCAGTGGAGGATGGCGCAGGTGCTTGGGTCCCTGTACCCACATGGGAGACCAGGAGGAAGCACCTGGCTCCTGGCTTCAGATCTGAGCAGCACCGGCCATGGTGGCCATTTGGGGAGTGAACAAATGGAAGGAAGACCTTTCTCTCTCTCTCTCTCTCTCTCTCTCTCACTCTCACTCTCACTCTCTCACTATCTGTAACACTACCTGTCAGAGAGAGAGACAGAGAGAGGAGGTTTTCCATCCGCCTGTTCATTCTTCAGATGGCTGCAACAGCCGGAGCTGCACAGATCCAGAGTCAGTTTCCTCTGGGTCTCCCAAGTGAGTGTAGGGGCCCAAGAACTTAGGCCATCTTCTACTGCTTTCCCAAGCCATAGAAGAGAGCTGGATCAGAAGTGGAGCATCCGGGACTCAAACTGGCGTCCATATGGGATGCTGGCATTGCAGGCGGCGGCCTTACCCACTATGCCACAGCACCGGCCCCTAAAACTCATTTCTTACTTTCACTTTTCCTGGGTTTATTCCTCATCCTTTGGGCATGAATAGTTTCTCAAAGTTCACATTCCCAACTGTCAGGCAGCTTGTCAGAGTTCAGGTCACAGATCAAGATCAATGTTACTGCTTGTTTGCTTTGGAGCATGTGTCATTGGAATGATACAAAATTGCATGATTAGCAGCAGAAATACTTGAATAACAAGTAAGATTTAAAGATAATTATTGGGGCTGGTGTCATGACATAGCAGGTTAAGCACTGCCTGCAACACCAGCATCCCATATGGGTTTCGGTTCAAGACCCAGCAGCTCTGCTTCCAATTAAGCTTCCTGCTAATGTGCCTGGGAAAGCAATGGAAAATGGCTCAAGTTCTTGGGGCCCTGCCATCCATGAGGGAGACCTGGATGAAACTCCTGGCTTCAGCTTGGCCTTGCCCTGGTTGTTATAGCCCTATGGGAAGTGAACCAGTGGACAGAACATGTCTTTCTCTCTCTTTCTCCCTCTCTCCCTTCCTCCCCCCCATCTCTCTCTCTCTTCCTCTCTCCCTTCCTCTCCCTCTCTATCCCTCCCTCTCTCTCTCTCCTCCTCTCCCCTTACCCCTCTTCCCCCTTCTCTCTGTGACTGCCTTTCAGATAAACTGTTTTTGAAAAAAAAAAATGCTTAAAAAAAGATAATTGTTAACACAAATGCTAATCTTTGCAATTAAACCTAATCTATTTTAAAAGAAGACACTCTTTAAATAGCCACAGAATAAATCTTTTTATAAATTTCATTTGCTTCCTGAGTCATGCTTGAAAGGTATTAAATTCTTATCTTGTATACAAGTTGTTTGATTTATTTATTCAAAAGGCAGAGTCAGAGAGATCTTCCCTCCACTGGGTTACTCCCCAAATGGCCAGAATTGCTGGGGCTGGACCAGGCTTGAAATCAGATGCCTGGAACTCCTAGGTCTCCCACAGAGGTACAGCAGCACAAGGATTTGGGCCATCTTGCACTACTTTCCCAGGTGCATTAGTTGGGAGCTGGTTTGGAAGTGGAGCAGCCAGGACTCAAACCATGCCAGCATTGCAGGCTTAACCCACTGTGTACTGATGCAAGCCCCAAAAAGTATCTTTTGGATAGAAAGGAGAGTTGGAAATGTAAACATCAATAAAGGTCATTAACTTTCATATTGTTAAAAAATATAGCTTGAATATTAGAACTAATTAAATCACCTTTATAAAATTATTAGAAAACTTCATTTATTTACAACTGTGAACCCTTTGGAAAAGAAATTGGCTGTTTTGGGTGTTGTGATTTGACTAAGTCTATTTTACAGATATATATGAATGAGAAAGTTTCACATTAATGCAAAATGAAGAAGACACTAGTCATAAATTGGTTAAATATATTTGGTGTCTGCTTTAGAATATAATAGGAACAAAGCTATCAAGCTTTACTGCAAAATATCTGTAGATACAATTTCCTGTAAAATGAGGAGTTGAGCTAGATGATCTATCTTGGATCTCTTAACTTTTAACTCTTTTATATTGTGAAACCATTCCATGAAAGTCTTCCCATTCAAGAAAATTTGTATAAGGACTCTGGATACAGGTTAATTAAGTATATGAAGTTCATCACTGGAAAAGTAATTTCTACAACTAATTAGAAATCTAAAGTTATTGAAACAAATACTGTTTTCAGAGAAATTACTTCTTATTTTTCAAAGCAATAAAATTATAAGAACAAGATTCCATTAAATACTGTATCCAGAAGTTATCTATTTCTGAGGTATTAACAGGAAAAATACAGAATACAGAATATTTCCAAGTAACTCTGAATCTGAAGCATACCAAACAGTAGTGTCAAAATTTGATATGATGAAATAAATATAAATAGCATAACTGTCTTAGTCTGCTGAACAAAATTCCAAAACTACGTGAAAATAGCTCTTTGTTTTATTTTTGTGTTACATTGTTTATGTGAAGTATAGAAAAAATTTAGCCCTAAAATATGCTATTTGCAATAAAGGATAATCTGGAGACAGTGGTAATGTCTAGCAATAGAGACAAGCAGATGTTCTGAGAAAACCATATTGAGTAAAAAAAGTTACACTTTCCTAGGAAAAAAATTATGAAAAATATAAATAGATATCAATATTAATATTTAAAGGAATGTTTAGTCTTTGGGTGCTTTCTCTCTGTGTGGAAGTGCAAAGATTAATTTTGCCACCCATGTTAGAGACCTGTATTGAGCTTTGGGCTCCTGGCTTCAGCCTGGCTCAGACCCAACTGTTAGACACTTGAAAAGTGAACCAGTAAATGGGAGATCTCTCTCTGACTTTCAAATAAATAAATAAATTATAAATAAATAAATTCTCAGAATAGAAACACTATTGATAATAAAACAAAAAGCATATTGTCATCTATTTTTAAGTGAATATTTTGAGTTGTGACAAAAATGAAAATTGGTGACTTCACTGAAGAAAATTAACATTTTTAAAAATTGATTAAAAGTGAACTGCACTTAAATAATTACAAGCATAAATTTCTGAAAAGTTGAAAAACTTTCTGAAAAAGAAAGCAAGGGACAATAACTTAGCTTACTTGCACACTCTGAAGTAGGTTTTTCAGGGCAGCATCAAACTGTAACAGAGTCTTTAAGGAATATCCCATCAAATTTGTCTCAAAGACATCCTTAGAGCATTACAAATTCCAGAGCACATATCCAGGTCTATATCATTTCTCCTGCCTGATGATGTTGGTGTATTTACATGAGATTGGGGTAGAAATGATGTCATAAGAAAAAAGTCCATCATGGGCTTTTATCTTGAAGAATTTGATTCAGCTAATAAGGTCACTGATGAAAAAAAAACAGTTGAAGTTATCTACCAAAACACATTGATATTAAAATCATATATATTTATTGTTGAATTTGTTTTATGAAGGCTACTAATATAATCATGTTTCCACCACAGATTGAGAGAACTGTTACAGCAGAATATGAACTAGAATATCTACTACTTGAAGGACATTGCTTTAATTCAATGACAGAACAACCTCCTCGGGGTCTGCAGTTTACACTAGGCACAAAAACTCAACCTGTTATGGTAGATACAGTAGTGATGGCGAATCTTGTAAGTGTTTCACATATTTAATTGGTATATTTAAAGTAGATGCTTTGATGAAATTCTCTAGGTGTTTGCTAACAGTAAGAGAAAATAGTCTGTGTTCTCTTACTTTTGAACAACTCACAGAAAGGCAAATTGAATTCTTAAGTTAATTAAAAATGTGAACAAGCATACTTTGAATACGTGCTGTCATAGGTCATTGTAAATTCTCCTTTTGAATTCATTTACGGAATTTACTTGTTTCATGGTAAACACTTTCTTGGATGATTCATGTATAGTCTTTAGTGAACAGTGAATGATTTTGGTCATAAAATTCTATTTTTTCCCCACCTTAAAAGGGTTATTTTCAATTAAAAGCAAACCCAGGTGCTTGGATACTGAAATTGCGTGAAGGAAAGTCTGAAGATATTTATCAAATAGTTGGGTAAGTTAGATGAATCGCCTTTTTTATTTTTTAAAATTTTATTGGAGAGTTCAGAAACAGAGAGCTCCCATCTCCTGGTTCACTTCCCAAAGACCTGCAGTGGCCAAGGCTGCACAGGTGCTATTGTGGGCTAAGTTAGTTCTAAATTCCTATTCTAGGCTCTTGCCTCTTACTTGGAGAAGTGTTCTTAGTACAGGCACAAATTCAGTGTACAAAGTGATAAAAGGTGAGGAAAACACACACACAGGTGGGCGTTGTTCAGGAAGAATGGGGCCATGAAGGGAAGAGAAATAAATTTCAATACTCTGCTTGCTCTGGGTCCACATGAATAGAGGAATTTCAGTACATTGTTCCTCAATGTCCATGGGAAGGGAAAGAGAGCCTCCTCCCCATTGGCCAGGCTTCTTAGGAGTTTAGAAAGGGGAGTGGTTACATGGAACCACCCCTAGGTCAGAGGAGGTACATCCTGGGGAAGGGGTCCTTTTGATTGACAGGAGGATGGATAGGATTTCATAGGCAGGGGTGGTGTGGCTTCCAGCTCGAGGCCCTAATCTAACTACCTGCCTTATTCCATATCAATACCAGAGTTAGGAACCAGGAATATAATCCACATTTCCCACATGGGTGTCAGGAACCCAAGTACTTGAACCATTTCCTGCTGCCTTCATTGTCTGCTGGAGTCAGGAGCAAGAAGTGAAAATCAAACCCAGACACTTGATGCAGACATCTTAACTGCTAGGCTAAAGGCATGCTCCTATAAACACCTTCCAAGTTTTTATATGTAAATAAGTTTTTGGTCTGATACATCTGACTTCAAAACAATAATTCAAATAAAAAGACTGAGTTAAATCCAGTTGTTAGCAAGATGGCAGAATAGAACTTCCCAGAGTTCATCCTGCCACAGAATTTGAGCATGAAAAGACCTTCATATGGTTAAGTATGTTTCTTCTAGCTAAGAAAACCAGGTAAAAGTACTACAATATCTGTTGTGCACAAAACAGGAGAAGATGCATTGTAAAGGATAGCAGACAGTTTTACTGTGTCTGCATTACCCTGCTCCTAACCCCAAGCAGCAGAGTCTTGGGAGAGAGTACCTCTTCTTGGGGAGGAGAGTAGAATTAATTCCTACCCTTCCTGAATTCATTCCAGTTGGTAGTTAAGAAAGTGAGTATTATACATTCTAAGTGCTATAAAGTGATGGTAGTATAGAAAGTAAACAAAATATACTACAACATTTGTGTTTTATCCTTGTAAAAGCTGTGATTCCAAGGCTTAATTTCAAGAACCATTCATGCTTAGCTTCAGCTGCTTTGATCTTCTGCAAACTGCCAGGAAATAAGCTTTTCTGTCTGATTCACCATTATATTTTGCAAAAGAAAAGCTCTTCAGAATTGAAGTGTAATTCAGATCACTTCTTTATCACTAACTGTAGGATCTTGCATAAATTTCTTTGTGATTTTAAGTCTTTATTTTCCCATTACAAAAGAAGCTAAGCTTCTTACCTTGGTGAGGACTATATGAGATAATTATCATAGAATGCAGTATCTTACATATTGAATAAATGTTCTGTTTCTTCCTCACTTATTTCTTCTTCCTTCTTCACAGAATACAGTTCTAAGATATCATCCATATTATGTAATAAAATATTAGGTTTTATTTTATCTTCTTTACCATTATTTTCAGTGATAAAGTGTATAGATAGATGCTTTATGGAGAAAATTACCCCTTGCATTATATTTTATGTACCACTAACATATTAGTAGAAAATTAATATTCTTCATTCATAAATTCTGGCAATTCAAATAGCTTCATAGTAATAACCATAAGCATTTCTCAATCACACTTTCATCCAAATTGATTAATATGTAACTAGATAAACAGAATGCAAAAAAAAAAAAAAGCAATGCTCCCCTATAATATTTCCTGGGGCCAGTGCTGTGGCTTAGCAGGTAAAGCCACTGCCTGCAGTGCCAGCATCCCACATGGGCGCTGTTAAGAGTCCCGGCTGCTCTATTTCCAATCCATCTCTCTGCAATGGCCTGGGAAAGCAGTAGAAGATGGCTCAAGTTGTTAGGCCATTGCACCTGCTTGGGAGACCCGGAGAAAGCTTCTGGCTCCTGGATTCTGACTGGCCCAGCTCTGATACCATGCCTCATTTTTCTTCCTGGGTCTGGCTTATTCCACACAAATGATGTCCTCCAGTTGCATCCATTTTGCTGCAAATGATAGTTTCATTATTTTTTATAACTGAATCATATTCCTTTGTGTATATGTACATACCGCATTTTCATTATCCATTCACCTGATGATGGACACCTTGATTGTTTCCAAAATTTGGCTATTGTGAACAGTGCTGCTATAAACATGGTGGTGCAGGTATCTCTTTGATACATTGTGTTCACGTTTTTTGGGTTGATACCCTGTAGTGGGACTGCCAGATCATATGGCAAATCTAGTTCTAGTTTTTAAAGAAATCTCCACACTGTTTTCCATAGTGCTGTGCTAATTTGCATTCCCACCAACAGTGTAAAGTGTTCTCCTCTCTGCACATCCTTGCCAGCATTTTTTTAAAGATTTTTATTCATTTATTTGAGAGGTGGTGTTACAAACAGTGAGAGGAGTGACGAGAGAAAGGTCTTCCTTCCGTTGGTTCACTCCCAGATGGTTGCAATGGCCGGAGCTGTACCAATCCAAAGCCAGGAGCCAGGAGCTTCTTTTGGGTCTCCCATGGGGGTTCAGGGGCCCAAGCACTTGGGCCACCTTCTACTGCTTTCCCAGGCCATAGCAGAGGGCTGGATTGAAAGAGGGGCATCCGGGACTAGAACCGGCACCCACATGGGATGCCGGCACTGCAGGCAGAGGATTAACCTGTGCTGCGGTGGCAGCCCCTTGGCCAGCATTTTGTTATTCTCTGTCTGGATTTTAGCCATCCTGACAGGAATGAAGTGATACCATGGTTTTGATTTGCATTTCTCTGATGGCCAGTGATGTCGAGAATTTTTTTTTCATGGGTTTGTTGGCCATTTGTATTTCTTATCTTGAGACCTGTCCTTGAAGTCCCTTGCCTGTTTCTCAACTGGATTGGTTTTCTGTTGTTGTTGAGTTTTTAAGCTGCTGATATATTCAGGATATTAATCCTTTGTCAGATGCATGGTTGGCAAATGTTTTTCCAGTTCTGTTGGATGTCTCTTAACTGCTTTTCCTATGTTTGGTATGTGATACTAGAGAGGTTTCAACCAAGACTGCATTCTTTCTCCACAGTACCATGAGCTGCTCCATTGTTAACTGGCTTTGCACTTTCTGATCCTAGCAGTAACTGAAGCTCACTTTATGGAAGGCTTCTGTGGGCTCTTTGATGTTCCGTGTTGCTCCCCCTCACTTTCCTCTAATTATCTGATCCCCACTGATGCATCTCTATTCCATTTGGCTGATTAACAACATGTTTAGTCCTTAGGCTCTTTTGAGAGCCTCTTTGGTTGGTAGTGGTGTTTTTTGTTTTTGTAGTTTTTTAAAAAGATTTGTTTATTTGTAAGGCAGAGGGGCGAGGGTGGGGGCGAGAGCGAGGGCTCTTCCATCTGCTGGTTAAGTCCCTAAATGGCCACAACAGCCAGAGCTGGGCCAGTCTGAAGTCTGGAGCCAGGAGCCAGGGGCTTCTTCTGGGTCTCCCACATGAGTACAGGGATTCAAGCACTAGAATCATTCCCTACTGCCTTCCCAGGTGCATTAGCAGGGAGCTGGATCAGAAGTAGAACAGCCAAGACTGAAACCAGAACCCATATATGATGCTGGCACAACTCCACCTTGCTACACCACAGTGCTGAATCCTTGAGAGCCTGTTGTTGTGGGAGTCTCTTCATGCATCTGGTGCCATATTGGGAGGACATAGGATAACAACAAAGCCCAGTCTGTCCTGCATGGCTACGTCACTTACCCAGCAAACTCTAATTCAGTCCAATTACAAAGCAGTCAGAGTTAGTCCTTCTCAGATATCAAGCCTTAGGTCCTGATGCACTTTACCTTTTCCAGCTGTGAACCAGACGCAAGCCTTCTGTTTATCCTAACTTTGAATGTACATTGCTGTGTCCTCCCCCTACAGTGCCTGCCTTAATGAATTTAGGATTAGATGGTAATGCTTGTCTCCTTCCTTTCCCCAGAGGGTCCAGCAATGGGGACTCATGCCCTAGCCCCAGCTCCCTACAAAGAAATTCTTCAGTTTTCATCTCCAACATCCCCTTTTTTTATACATTTGGTCCCTCTGAGGGTCAGTTTGCAGAGAATGGTGGTAGTGCAAGATTAAAGCAATTCATTCTCCCTACAATGTCTGGTAGCAATCTCATACGTGCCCCAGTGGAAGCATTCTAGTCCCCTTTTATTTCATATCCCACCCCTCCCATCTTATCTTTTGTTTTATCCTCTCATATTACTGTTGTTGAACTCACTGAATTTTTTTCAATTTTCATTTTCTTTTTAATTAATTTTTAACAGATTAAATATGATTTATAGATACAATTCTAAGAACATTATGATATTCCTTTTCTCCCTCTCACCTTTCCTCCCTCCCACCTTCCTCCTTTCTACCTTTCTGGGTTTTTTTTTTTTTTTTTGGCTTTTGAGGTAAAATATTTTAAATTTACATTTCAGTAGAAAGGCTTAGTACTTCACCAAATAAGAAGTTTAACAAATAAAAAGCAATAATACCCTGATTTAATGGGAATGTAGACAATGACTATAAGCAGTAATTGAATGGAAAAATGACCATTTCATCCATATAAAGTTTTTTGTCAATTATTCATAATAACTTTTCAATGAAGTAAAACCAATGATATTGTAATGTCTAAATATTTTCTATATAGTTATAAGAGTGGGATGGTTGGATCATATGGTGGATCCAGTTTCAACTTTCTGAGGAATCTCCATGACATTTTTCACAATAGAGTACTAGTTTGCATTCCCACCATCAATGGATTGGGGAACCTTTTCCCCTACATCTTCAGCAGCAT